GCAAAATCGTGTCCGGCCCATAAATTCGTTATTTGATGTCGGATTTTACAACTATTTCACTGAAATGATCACCATATTGAGACGATGTGTCACACGCAACATTTGGGTCATTACCTTGGAGGTCAAGGTCACAGCATGACCTTGAAGCAAAAATGAGTCTGGCCCATAACGTCGTTATTTGAAGTGGGATTTTACAACTATTTTGGAATTATCACACTTTGAACTTTGTCTGGACATAACCCTGAAACTACAAAAGATATACTTTTCTGTGTCCAAATCCTAGTCGGGGAGGATCACCCCGGTTCAACCGGCTGTTTTAATTGATTATTAAGTAATATGAACAATTCATGATAACATCATAACTATAGAGTGGAAATTTATGAAAGTCAAATATGTATAGAATCAGTTTCTAATAAAATGTGTGTAAAATTTATCTCTTTTTTTAACTCAAGGAATTGAATTAATTTCTTTATTTTACAAATTTATCAAATTTCATTTTATTCTACTGATATGTTTGTAATATTTCTTTTATTTTCTTTTGAAAAAATGTGTTAAACCAATATGTATTTGTTTTCTTATAATTCAGCTAGTTTTAATTATTCCAATGTTTGAAAAAATTGTTCGCCAGAACTTTACCAAAATGTTCGCCAAAATATCGCCATAACATATTTGCTGAAACTGGCAAATATGCAAATGAAGTTTGCCGCAGTGTTACCAAAAGCTTCTGGCGAACCTCCGCAAACTTACTATGCAAATGAAGTTTGCTGCAAATTTGCCGCAAACTTTTGGCGAACATCTGCAAACTTTTACCATGCAAATGAGGTTTGCAGTAAATTTGCCGCAAACAGAAGCTACCTCCCCCTATAGTTAGCGGCAAATTTGCCGCTAACCTCATTAGTTGCGGCAAATTTGCCGCAAACCTCATTTGCATGGTAAATAATTGCTGAAAGCAGTTTACTGCAAATTCACCGCAATGTTTGCGGCAAACTTGCCGCAAGGTTCACCAGAGAGCCCTTATTTTGGTAAGGGACATGATATTAATAATGTGACAACGATTTTCTGGCCGACTGTTTTTTGTTTGGTTTCTGTTTGGACCGTACTTAGCGCTATACACAATGGTATGAACTGTCGACTGTTTTCATCCTATGCATTTACATTTTCTATCTCTCTCCCAGCAATAAACAATCATTACCATTCGTAGATTGATGTCATAAATAAAAACATATATGCAAAGTCAACGAATAATGAACTGATTGTGCGTAAAACGTTAATTTGCCAATAATTCTTGTTTATCATAAAAGCTATAAATTAGCCTTAATAATGTTAATCGGTCAAGTTCTTTATATATATATTGTGTGTGTGCGTGTGTGTTTGCGCGAGTGTGTGATTTATGATATTGTGTTGATAAATATTTATGTTGTGTTCAGTTCTTGTCAGTACATCGTATCTTTTTTCGTAATATAAAAGGCACAGCATATCAACCATGCATATCCAGAATCGCATGAATGTGAAAATAGCGCAAAATTATCGCCAAATCAGTGCAGAGCTATAGCCGAAAAGAGTAACATGGTCAATAACTCGAATACAATAATTCAACGTAAATTGAATCAAAATAAATGAATAAGCGCATACGACTGCTATGTCATAATACTTTATTTTTATCACCTTTTTAGCTCGACTATTCGATAAGAATAAGTAGAGCTATTGTAGTCACCCGAGCGTCGGGGTCGGCGTCGGCGTAACCACTTATGTTAGAGTTTTTGTAATAGTTCAAATATTTTCAAAGTCCATTGACATATGGCTTTGAAACTTTGCACACTTGTTCACCATCATGACCCCAACCTGTAGACATAAGGAGGTAACTGTATCAAGCATTTTGACAGAATTATGCCCCTTTTTCGACTTAGAATTTACGTTAAAGTTTTTGTAATAGTTCAAATATTTTCAAAGTCCATTGACATATGGCTTTGAAACTTTGCACACTTGTTCACCATCATGACCCCAACCTGTAGACAGGAGGAGGTAACTCTATCAAGCATTTTGACAAAATCATGCCCCTTTTTCGACTTAGAATTTACGTCAAAGTTTTTGTAATAGTTCAAATATTTTCCAAGTCCATTGACATATGGCTTTGAAACTTTGCACACTTGTTCACCATCATGACCCCAACCTGTAAACAGGAGGAGGTAACTGTATCAAGCATTTTTTTTTACTATCAAGCACTAAGAAAAGTCGAGCGTTGCTGTCCTACCGACAGCTCTTGTTGTAATTACTAATAGTAATTTCTCATAGGCCACTGTGAGTTATTTATACTGTTAATGTCAGTGTACATGTACGAAATGACTAAAAAATTTGCACTGTTATATAGGTAACATTAGTTGCCACAAAGGGACACCACCAGAGTGACTATTACACCCAGGACATTTAGTTTTTTGTTCTATTCGCGTTTTAAACATCTTTTGGTCGAATATTAAAAAGTAAATATTCGTTTTCATCGTAAGTTATTGCCAAGGGATGGCACTGAACAAGCAGACGATAAAAAAATGCAACAAAGGATTATTAAACGAACTCCCTGACCTGTCTACTGCTAATTATCAGATAAGTGGATACAATAAGAATTTCACCACAATGTTCTGCTTACAAAAGAGCACGTGTCAATGTTTATGGTTAAATATATTGTTATTCAAATAAAAGGTCAGATAATGAATCTATCTATCCGTGAAAAAGGACAGATGTGGTAGGCAGAAATAGGAAATTATCGTAAATGCATATTATCAATATCAATATGAAAAATATTCTGGTTAGGATCAAATTTCACAGATTAAAAAGCTTACGCCTCAGGTAACAGTGTTTTCCTTAACTGTAACCCACAAACCTATGTGCTATTTATACATTAATCGGCATAATAAACTTCTTGGAACTTGTTTCCTTTTGATATCATTTGTGTAAATGACGACCTAACTATCCATAGGAACTCTGGAACACGACCGCATATTGCGACGCATAAATCCGAAACCGTACCGGCTTTACATATTGTTTGTCCGACCTTTGGATATCTTTTATATTATGCGAGTAGGTGGTCTATAATTATATAATCTCAATTTAATATAATCTGCTAATTTAAAAATCAGTCAAATTTACGGTATATTGAAAAAAGAAAATGAGTGACATCCGCCATTTACCGCAGCGTTCGGCGTAAGTTATTCCCTTGATATCTTGATTTTTTTTAAAAAAAAATTCTAGTACTCTCTTTATATCACTTAATACATGGAATAGATAAATACAGAATCCCTAAAGAAAGCCCAACACGGCAAAATTGAAAATGTTGCAGGCTCGGTTTGATTGAGCCTGTTCATGGACGGTACTGGAAAGTGCAAGTTACCGTCCACGCCCCCTAGCACCGGCTTAAGCAGAATTCAACATTTAAACGTGAAATAGTAAAATTTTGAATTTAGAAACATCCGCAGATGTGTTCATACGGCGGTTATCATGGAACCTTCAATATGACACTTCCGTGCCATTCCATGAAAAGCGGCGTATGGTCCCCAAGTAATAAAAAGCGTGTGCCCTAAACGAGAAAACAATGGGCGGAACTAAATAAAATGGAATTTTGAAAGGGGATCAGAGGTTATGAAGCCTGCGTATCACAGATAAGACGTCAAAAGACAAATTTAAAAAGCAGGCAACATATCCTAAGGGTGACTCAACATTATTCAAGTAGGAATATTGGAACCACCCAACTAGAAAATGCCGAAAAGTTGAAACTAAAAATACCACTCACTTTTCATAGTAATGAATACCAGATGAGTGCCTAAAATATTTACCTATGAATCATGTATAATATACCTTTTTACAGTTAGGCAAAATCAACTAAAGTGTCTGTTTTCTCCAAGTTAACATATCAAAACACGAATACGCCCGTAAAATTGCCGCATATATATGTCAACATGTGTAAACAATAAACCGTGAAAGTTATATCCGGACGATACCTAATAGTTGACAACTATAACGGAATAAAAAATAGTGATCAATTGTAGCCAAAGGGGAAAAATTTTGCCGAACGTTGCGGAAAATGGCGGATGTCACTCCTCGTTTTATTTATAATACCGTGAAATTGGACCAGTTTTTAAAGAAACAGATTGGGTTCAATTGATAATATATTTTTGAGGCCATATATAATCCGATAATACTTAAAGATATTTAAATGTATGATTTGAATGCAACGTTTGTGTTTCAGCAGTAAACATAAGCGCAAGAGCATATTTAAAACTTTATTGTTTTGATATCCGGTATATCTTAGACATTTGCCAAACTACTAGACTAAGTATCATTTAATTGTTAATAGAAACAATTGTAAATACTATTCCAGTAATACTGTCATTAATGGTGTATATGCTCCTTTGGGAGAAGTCCATGTCCTTGCAGGAAATTATATTACAAATTTAAAGTTTATACGCTCGCTCTTTGTGACAGTCGCTAACATTGCACATGTAACCTTCCGCGGTTAATAACGGAAATAATCTCGGTGTGGTGTAACGTTATCTTTTTCTAGAATTGTTTGTTTAAATTATTACGCCACCCGTTATAATGCTGTTTTTAAAGCTCACTGATGAAATAAATTTTCCTCATACATTAAACAAACAAATATTTTCTATAAATAAGTATTTAGACTCTCAACTTAATAAGCATCATATCATTTATATTTAAATATGAATATGAAAATATCATTGATGTAATGACCAATCAATATTAAACGCGCGTGTGATATCAATATAACGTATTCAGATATAGGTATTGCCCTTAATCATCATTTTTAGGGATTATTTCAAAATACATACTGACTGAATAACGATAGATCCAGACATTGATAAGACGACACGAATCTTGGTAAATACAGGTCGTATGTGTGAAATATGTTATCGGAAGATGCCCCAAATGTGTTTGAATTAAATTACTCTGATATATGATTTACATTAAAAAGCAAAAATAATAAATTTTACCTTTTCAGAACTCATGGCTGCTTTTATGTCCCGCTCAGTTAATTTCCAAGATTCACCAACCTTTTTTTTAAACCAGGATAACTCGTTTGGTATCAGCTTCTCTATGCTCTCATTGTTACTTTTACACTTGAAGCACAAGCATTTTAAAATGTTTTTTAAAAACGTGGATGTTGCCATTCTTTCTAACTCTAGAGCAAACTTGACCTGAAATATATTTCAAACAATGTTTGGTGAATGTGAATTATAATTACTTAGCTTTTATTTTTCATCTCATCTAAGAATAAACTGAAACATGCTTTTCAGAAAATATTGTTTATAACATGTCGTCTGTGCGAAGCGTCTTTTTTACTTTGAAACCGAAGATCTATGCTTAAGTCAATGCCGTAGGAAAAACAACCCAATAATTGTTTCAGGAATCTGACAACACGAGTGTTATATGTATGCCACATTGCTGAATAGCTCATTTAGGCCTTTGGCATTAATAAATTATATCCCAATTGAACAACACACTAGCTAAATAAGCAAACATAAATATAACATTTCTTAAAGTTTAGAAGTCCATCATCATGATGCAATTGATCGTTGCAAATTATACCATTTAATTTTTTTCCAGTTTTATTTTTATGTAAATGTTTTCTTAAACGTAATAAAAGTAAAAAAAAGTAAGTTTACTTTGTTTTATTTTGTCTGTTCAATTCAAAGACGAAAAGCTCGATAATAGAACCCAAAGATAATATAACCCAAAGGTTAACATGTTGTATTTAAGCGGTTCGCGATATTTCGCGAATTTTTACACTGTTGTGGCGGACAAAATTCGTATTTACTGCTGAATTGCAGAGAAAATGGCAAAGCAGTGTTATATTTCTATTTTACACGATTTTTTTTAGCGATGAAGTAAGCTTTTGTTTTTTGTAAGCTTTGGAAACTGGTCTCATGTCTTTTATACCTTAGTAACAAAATATAAAGAGCAGCTAAGCCTATAAAAAATTTGGAAGTCAAAACCATGTCCGTACATCCTAACAATTTCAATAGAAAAAAAATACAAAACTAAACAAAAATCTTTAAAAAAAAACGAACTTGTTTCTACAGATAAAGTACATAAGGTAAAGAATTTTCCATGTATGGATAGATGGGAAAATTCAGATTTTTTTCTGACAATGGAAAGAAACGGCTTTTACACTGATGCAAGACTGTAACAGTGGTCTACGTAGGGTTTACGCTGGATCCACGATAAAAGTGTTTTGCATCAAGGCAAGAAAGTAAAAATGGATCAAGAAGCATTAAGCGTATGTATGTGAATGGTTTATGTTTTTTTATCATTATCGAGAACTTCGCAGAGATGCGTCTTACAAAACTCGTCTGCCTCGAGGCTGAAAAATCCTTGTCTTTATATGGGTCACTAACATTGACGATCTGGTAAGTCCTTACGTGCTTATTGCTTACAGGTATTTAGCATTGTGATCCGCGCTATAAACGTGTTAATTAGAGTCTCCGTGTTTAGTGCTATGCATATCATAGTCCTAGCTCAGTTTCGAATAGTGTCAGTTATTTTTTAATCAAATAAATATGGGTCCTTTAGAGAGTTTAATGACAAAGTGGCAGCTAGATATAAATGAAAATACTGAACAATCACCAAGGTTAAAGAAATTAACGTCTCCGCTGATTGTTGTTCTTGATGTGATGACTTTTAACGGTCTCCGTAAGGCACACAAAAACAGGCAGGTGTGACAACAAAAAGTTAATATAAATAGGACACTTATGGAAATAAAGCATCATCTTTCTGAAACATAGTTGTATATGAAATACTTTATTCCGTATGTAGATTTGTCTCAAGAGCCCCAACAAAAGCGATATAGATATAGTACATGAGGGAAATCATTACCCTGTCGATGTCAATATTTTTGATTTCTTTGGGGTAATTGCATCATTTTTTCAATTATGGTGCCTATTTCCTAATTTTATGGTATTTGTGATTACACTCCGGATCACGACAGTAACCCGCACTTTATTCGCCAGAGCACATTCCAGCCGCCACCGTACAATGCCCAAGCAAGCTGTCAAACAGTTAAACATCACTAGATGTCTGTCCGTTCGTAAAAAAACTTGTTATTCCTTGTTCAGCAGTCCGGAACTATTTGAGCATTTTTGTTTTGTATAAGGACCATCTGTTAATCATTGCTGCACAATTTTAACTAAAAGCTACCGAGTGGTTGAGGAGATGTCGTTCAAAACTTTAAACAATTTAAGCCAGGTTTTGATAGCTTGTGTGCAATTTTAAGATCAATACCGAATACCGAAAGTCGTTTGTTGCTTGGGATGCCGAGCTTTTATTGAAATATTGAAAATATGTCTTTCTGAAAGTTTAAAGACTCTATCAATTATATTTAAAGCGTAAATAATAATATCTTTATAAAGGAGAAAGTTCCATTATAAAGTACACAGTTTTATACATGTATAAATTATCATAATCGCCCTGAATGAACCTTCAAACTGAAATTTTAAGCATTTTTTAAGAACTTCGGACATACTAGACATCAATGATATCTAACTTGTTGTTAAGAAACGGTTTACCTAAACCAATCCATTTTGATTGTTGAGGATAAGAAAAAGTGATCAACAGAAACCGAGCAGATTTAGTAAAGAATGTAAAATATGATAAACAAGATCAACAAGGAAGGCGGCGATTGGTGAACGCAACCCCCACTCGACCCAGTTACAAGAGCCGGTGGCAAGGAGCCCAGGAGGACCCCAAACAAAAACTGGACAGTGCACAAGGCAGAGCATGGGCAGGCTTACCACTAAAATCATAAATAATAAGTAACTGATTAGGAACTAAAAGAGAACAAATAAATGATTGAATAATAGGCCCATAAAATGGCAAAAGGCACAGGGAAGGAGACCCGAGGAAGGGAGGGGATAAATAAAATAAATAAAAACTAGAGTGAAAGGGGAAGATACTTACCGTAGACGAGAAAAACAACAAGGGACACAAGTGTCACAAAAACAGTATGAAACAACATAGACATACATCTGAGGAACACAGAGGGGGGCCTTGGAACGTTCAGCAGCATTAATACTGCTAGGGAGTTTAAACCGGTTAATGGTGCTCCAAACCTCGCTCTTAGCCCCATCATCTTCCTATAAACGAGACAGTGTAAATAAAATGAATCCCCGCCAAGTGAAATTCTAACAGTTGTCATGGTTACAAAATATTAAATAAGTAAAACACCAAAATGACCATGTAGAAACATATAAAAGTAAACCTAATGACCATGACAAAAGAACTGAACGTCTTAAAGGAAGACAGAGCAACAAGAAAATCACCTACAAGGGCCCGACGAAGCAAGGCAGAAGACGAACATTAAGGCAATTCAGTCCCAAAGGGCTTTAATAACTGTCCATCATAGAGTCTCCCACTTGGCCCATCAGATGTAATCAAAGGAGGAAAGCGTTGCTTCCATTTGTTAATGGGTTGATCATAAGCATGCGGTATGTCTTAAAATAGTAGGGTCATAACCTAAGTTCAGTTTTCACTGTGTCAAGTTGTAATATGATGCTATTCTGTTAATGTTTGTGTTGGTTGAAAACTAAAGTATATTTAAAATAAAGTTGCAAGTGATCAATATATCATCAATATAATTATAAATTTGCTAACTCTAAAGTATTCTTAATATCTTTTATGCTAAGTGATAAAGTTGGACGCCCTTTGAAATGTGCCAGAAGGGATTTTCTGTGTTGGAGAAGAAGTTCTTTCCATATACTCTTGACCTCTGAATCTCTATTTCTGTTCTTTTAAGAACCGGAATGTGGTATAAACATAGATGAGTAAACCTCTATGGTTATCTCAACGACAAGCTAACCCTTGAGAATACCACACTTGAGGAGTCTCTTAGTTGAGACAACCATGAGACCCCATGCACAGTAACGCAGATGGAACTACCGAAATAATTGCAAATCGATAATTAACGTAAATGACATTTCAATACAGTCTGCATCACAATTTCATTAATTTTCGAATCTTACGTAACACTATTTTACTGGAGACATTTGGAGTGGCAAACATTCAGGGAATGTTACGAGTCAAGTATACATAACAACATGTTACCATCTTAAGTGCTGAAACTTTGCTTTCATAAAACGCAATTGACTGACGATGCTGACGATGCTGCCAGTGTGATTGATAGTTTGAATGTGATACACTGAAACTATTCAGGAGTTATACATTTACTCAAGGAACGTTTTGGTCAGACACATTAAGTTGAAGATGCGTTCATGCAAGGTTAACTTTATTAACCTAGACCAACTTCCCAAATGTTTAGTCTAAGACCGATTCAAGAAAAGATTGACACATATATCAGCCGTATACAGTCCTTTAGTCTAGGTCATGAGTCCTTTGGAAATTTACTTATACGTGTGTATGTTCAGTTTTCACTATGTCATGTTGTACTATGATGCTATTCTGTTAATGTTTGTGTTGGTGAATGACTAGATTAAAGTCACAAGTGATCAATATATCATCAATATAATTATGAAATGCTATCTCTTAAGTATTCTTAATATCTTTCATTCTAAGAGATAAAGCTGGACGCCCTTTGAAATGTGTTTGAAGAGATTTTCTGTGTTGGAAAAGAAGTTATCTATATACTCTCGACCTCCTCTGAATTTCTATTTCTGCTCTTCTAGAACCGGAATGTGATATTAACATGTATGAGTACACCTCTATCGTTATTTCAACGACGAGTTTAACCTTGAGAATACCATATACTCTAATGAGAGAAAAGCCATTATTTATCGCAAGAAACTGTGTTTCATTTGTTTAGGCAAACACTTTATTGTCGCTCGGAACACCCTTGTGGAAAATGCAATTTGAAACACCATACCAGCATTTGCGATAATAGTATCAGAAGCTCACTGAACTCATTGGCTCAAATTTTGTTCCTATTTCCGGCAATGAAACAACGACGTATCTTACTTCTGGTCATGTCTGTACTAAGCAAACACTTATTTGATGAATGAACTCAATAATCGTTTATTACTTATGAACTTGCTAAACAATACGGGTCCGACGTTATCCACCTTGTTGTTATCGAGTCGGAGTCCAAGGCCGGTCATTTTGAAACCGCCACAGTTTACCTGATAACTGACAACTCAGAGAGAATTGTCATTAATGTTTTAATTGTACCGTCCATTTTTGTGCCTTTA